AAAGTTGTCATAAGACACGCCCAGTATGTGGTTGGGGTCCCATGTGGCGGTTAAGTACCAGTTGTTGTTGGAGGAGCCACCAGCAGTAGTAGCAATAGCAAGACTTGGGGTGAGTAGGCACGGGGACACAACTACCGAGTCAAGCCGAAACTCGGGGGACCTGACGTCTAGCAAGCAGTGCTACAACGCCATTAAGTAGAAAAGTATCGACATACACGAGAAAACGCTCACCAGTAAGAGGATGGGGCAGAAGTTGTGAAGTCTACAACATTCGGGGAACTCCTCTCTCTTTTTGGAGAGGAGGCGCTTAGCAGCTTCTTCCATTTGATTATTAATATCAGTAGGAAGAAATATTTGAGAGATTTGAGAATCAGTTTCTCATTGAACTCCTATTTATAGAGAATCAGTTTCTCTAATCTCCTAGTTGTACATGGAATAGGAATCTTGGAGAGATTATCTAAGAATTTTTTTTTGGGGCCAAAACAATAATGGTTTCTTTACTTTCTATTTTTTATTCCACAGGTTTCCGATTCCGAAGGTCGCATAGAGAGGGGGATTTGCAGGCTAGGTACAATGTGACTGGGAGTCGCTATCAAATATGTATAATATACGCTTCATAGGAAAAAAAATAATAAGTACGCACATAATAGGTACATTGAAATAATTAATAGGTATATTATCATTTATAAAAGAAAAGGAAAATAACTAAATTTTATATTAAAATCAATCACATAATAGGTACATTATTATTTAAAAAAAAATTAAAAAGTATACCTATTATTTTATTATTTTATAGATAAAATTAATAGGTATATGGTACATTAAAAATAATAGGTATATTCTTTTACACATAAGATAATAAGTAATTCTTTTATTCATCTATATATATAAAGCAAAAGGCATAAAATGGTGAAACATTCAAAATACCAGAAAATGCTATTGGTTAATGCAAACATTAAAAATTGAAATTATTAATTAAATGAGGATAATATGGTAAATTCACACCTTTTCATATTAAAAAAAATTTAAAATTAAAAGAAAAATCAGATAATGGATCCTATTTTTATGGAACACAACCATCCATTATCTTTTTTAATTCTAAAATAAATTTAAATTTTTTTAAAAAAGCCTCTCGCAAGCGCGGAAGCGCGTGTGGAGAGGCTAGTAAAAATTTAAATATTAAGTATATTATATTTTCAAGATAACAAGATATGCTCAAACAATCAAAGAACACCATAATTCATAAAAGGTAAGTAGATTATTCCTTAATTCACGTATAATTCTTAAAAGGAAAATAACAAATATATTGTTTTCGTTAAATCCACCTATAGATACTTGAAATATGAAATCTTTCCAAATTAATACCTACATCAGTTACAACCAGATTTCATGAAGAGAAATGTACATAATCTTTCTAAATTCAACATAATTAGGGGTACTTTTGGAATCCAAAAGGTGCAATTTAAAAAAGAGAAGTTATGCTCAGTTCTATTTAGAGTTTGGTCAGTCTTATTATACTGATGGAGATGAAGACGATGAGAAGGTTCACAAGGCATTTCACAAGGACTATACCTCGTTGAACTCAATTCAAGGTGCTAATGGTTTTAGTTTTTAATAGTTTGGTTCAATGGGTTTAGTTGATTCAATGGTTCCGTGGTTGCGGCAGCGATGGTGGTGGGTGGGGAGGCGGCTGGGGGCTAGGTGGTGTACGGTTGACGAGCGAGGGGAGGGGAGAATATTCTGGGTTTGCTGTTTTCTTTTGTTTTGGTTTTGTTTTTTCAATTGAATAATTTATTATGTATGGTTGATAAGCGAGGCTTGACCAAGAACAATCCACTTTCCTTGAAAATTTCAATTAGTTTGAGCATCTTTGCTGAGTTTGTTTTTGTCCAATCATCAACAGAACAATATTAACCCAACTCCCAAAGCAAAACTACGACAAATTCAAATTCATGAAATAGGATGAAACCTACTAAGGCTTTACTTTCATCTCTTCTATGTTTCATAAGCCAGGGTTGACCAACAAATTCAAATTCATGAAATAGGATGAAACCTACTAAGGCTTCCCTCATCTGTCACTGTTAATGTTTGGACTTTCATCTCTTCTATGTTTCATAAGCCAGGGTTGACCAGGAACAATCCGTGATCCGTATCTGTTGTCGAATAACTAGCCCCTAAATAGGTTTAATAAAATCTAATTTTCAGCATCCTTCAATATAACATTTTTTTTTTCCCAATCTTCAGTATAACATTATTAGCAATGACAAATATGTAGGAGAAATGGAATCATAAGTACTTCAAAATAAAACTTAATACACAAAATTAGAAAAGAATGGTATTTCAAACCAATATACATGAGTGGTCTCAAGTCTCAAACTATTCCCAAACGTCTTGCAAGTCTATAACTTATGTAGTACGTACACTTTGCGTATATCATCGTCGACAACCATATCCAAAAACTAGCAAAAATTACAGCATCCTCCGACTTAATGACGATATCCCCGTACCCAAGTGTTGTTATAGTAACCACAGACAAATACAAACAATCCAAATAGTTAAATTCTGTGAGTCTGTGAAACTCTAACATACCTATAACTACACATAAAATAGGTGCAAATAGTGGCGCAAGCAATTCTAACCAGCCAACAAAACTGTTAAACTTATGCTCACTAATGCACCGATCAACTAGCATAAGTTCCACTAATTTAATAAAACAATCACATAATGTCATCAAAAATAAATCCCCCACGTAGCACCATACTCCACTAAGAAAAAAACTCAACAATAACGTCAGAACTTTACCCCAAACACTATCGGGTACAATGTCCCCGTATCCCACAGTTGACATTGTTTGTGCCGTGAGGGAAAGTGAAAAGGCAAATGGTGATAAACTTCTTTTTTCATTTTTGTCTACGAAGCTATGCAGGAAACAACTTAATAAACCAAAAATCATACCAAGCATCAATGGCCACATGCTGATCCTAATGACCACTTGAAGACGAGTTGGAGGTGCAGGCCCTGGAATATCTTGTGGAAGAAGAGTTGCATCTTGTGCTACATCTTGTTGAAGAAGAACTGCACCTTGTATGTGCTCATGTGCAGCTTCTATGTGCTCAAGTGCAACTCGTAAGTGCTCAAGTGCAGTTTGTATGTGATTAGGTGCAGGTTGTATGTGATCAGGTGCAGGTGGTGAGTGAGGCAGGTCACCTCCAACTCCGCTTCCAAGTGTTGAGGGGTCCAACAGGGGCATGTGAAGGTTGACTCCACTTCCACCTCCACTGCTTTGATCACCAATGTCTTCTCTGATTTCCATAGTTCCTAGCATTATAGAAATTGTAAACACAGAGACAAGAAAAATTAGATAACCAGAGGATATTATGCAAATATGCAGGTAATTCATCAATTTTATACAGATTTTATAACAAAACAATAATAGGAAACACAAACCAATGATGCAAACAGATTTGACAAAAATCCTAGAGAACTGTTAAGACCTAGCAAAGATTAATTTTTGAAACCAAATACTGCAGACAGATTGACAAAAAACCTCAAGAAACTGATAAAACCAGGCAACAAGATTCAACTTTGGAAGCAAATGACAAATTTAAAGTTAAAACTTGAAAAAGAACAGATCCCCAAACAGAATGTCAAAAGCTAAAACGACCATAAACTTCATAAAGAACAAAGCACCAATAACAAATGCTGCAGATAATTCACCAAATTTATTGTTCTAGCCACAGCCAATTTCTCAAATTTAAAACCATTTACATGAAGGGAAAAAAAAGAGTTGGAATATTGGCAAATTTCCACATTTCCACATTTTCAAGAATGCAGGCAGATTGACAAAAATCCTCGAGAAACTCACACATCCAGAAACAAAATTCATTTTTGGAACCAAATGACAAAGTTAAAACAAACATAAACTTGAAAAAGAATAGAGCCCAATGACAAACGATGCAGATAGTTCATCATAGTTCCTAGCATGATTGAAATTGTAAACACATAGAGACAAGAAAATTAGATAACAGGAGGATATTAGAACGCAAAAATGCAGGCACTTCATCAATTTTATAACAATACAATATTAGGAAACACAAATCAATGATGCAGGCAGATTGACAAAAATCCTAGAGAAACTGATAGACCCAGCAACAAGATTAACTTTTGAAACCAAATAATGCAGACAGATTGACAAAAATCTTAAAGAAACTGATAAACCCAGGCAACAAGATTCGATTTTGTTACCAAATGACAAATTTAAAGTAAAAACTTGAAAAAGAACAGATACCCCCCAAACAGAATAACAAAGCTAAAATGAACATAAACGTCATAAAGAACAAAGCCCCAATAACAAATGCTGCAGATAATTCACCAAATTTAGTGTTCTAGCTATAAGAACGCAAAAACCGCAGCCCTTTTCTCAAATTTAAACCCATTTTACAAGATTAGGAAATACAAATCCTCAAGAAACTGATTAACCCAGCAACAAGATTAATTTTTGAAACCAAATGACAAAACCATAAACTTGAAAAGATAAAAAAAGAGTCAGAATATTGGTAAAGTACTGTGATGGGTCAATTTCCAAATTTCCACATTGTCAAGAATGCAGGCAGATTGACAAAAATCATCAAGAAACTCATAAACCCAGAAACAAGATTCATATTTGGAACCAAATGACAAAGTTAAAACAAACATAAACTTGAAAAAGAAAAGAGCCCAATGACAGACAAAGCAGACAATTCATCAAATCACTGTTGTGGGTATTAGAACGCAAAAAGGCCGATAGTTCATCATAGTTCCTAGCATCATTGAAATTGTAAACACAAAGAGACGAGAAAAATTCGATAACGGGAGGATATTAGAAAGCAAAAATGCAGGTAATTCATTAATTTTATACTGATATTATAACAAAACAATGTTAGGAAACACAAACCAATGATGCAGACAGATTGCAAAAATCTTATAGATACTGATAGACCCAGCAACAACATTAATTTTTTAAACCAAATAATACAGATTGACAAAAATCCTCAGGAAATTGATAAACCCAGGCAACAAGATTCAATTTTGGTACCAAATGACAAATTTAAAGTTAAAACTTGAAAAAGAACAAATCCCCAAACAGAATGACAAAGCTAAACCAACCACAAACTTCATAAAGGACAAAGCCCCGATGACAAATGATGCAGATATTTCACCAAATTTATTGTTCTTCTACAAATCCTCAAGAAACTGATTAACCCAGCAACAAGATTAATTTTTGAAACCAAATGAAAAACCATAAACTCGAAAAGAAAAAAAAAACAGAGTCGGAATATTGGTAAAATACTGTGATGGGTCGATTTCCAAATTTCCACATTGTCAAGAATGCAGGCAGATTGACAAAAATCCTCAGGAAACTGATAAAACCAGGCAACAAGATTCAACTTTGGTAGCAAATGACAAATTTAAAGTTAAAACTTGAAAAATAATAGATCCCCAAACAGAATGACAAAGCTAAAACGACCATAAACTTCATAAAGAACAAAGAATCAATAACAAATGCTGCAGATAATTCACCAAATTTATTGTTCTAGCTATAAGAACGCAAAAACCGCAGCCAATTTCTCAAATTTAAAACCATTTACAAGAAGATTAGGAAATACAAACCCTCAAGAAACTGATTAACCCAGCAAGAAGATTAATTTTTGAAACCAAATGCAAAACCATAAATTTGAAGGAAAAAAAAAGAGTTGGAATATTGGCAAATTTCCACATTTCCACATTTTCAAGAATGCAGGCAGATTGACAAAAATCCTCGAGAAACTCATACATCCAGAAACAAAATTCATTTTTGGAACCAAATGACAAAGTTAAAACAAACAAAAACTTGGAAAAAGAACAGAGCCCAATGACAAACGATGCAGAAAATTCATCAAATCTACTGTTGTGGGTATTAGAACGCAAAAAGGCCGATAGTTCATCATAGTTCCTAGCATGATTGAAATTGTAAACACATAGAGACGAGAAAATTAGATAACAGGAGGACATTAGAACGCAAAAATGCAGGCACTTCATCAATTTTATAACAATACAATATTAGGAAACACAAATCAATGATGCAGGCAGATTGACAAAAATCCTAGAGAAACTGATAGACCCAGCAACAAGAATAACTTTTGAAACCAAATAATGTAGACAGATTGACAAAAATCTTAAAGAAACTGACAAACCCAGGCAACAAGATTCGATTTTGTTACCAAATGAAAAATTTAAAGTAAAAACTTGAAAAAGAACAGATCCCCCCCAAACAGAATGACAAAGCTAAAATGAACATAAACGTCATAAAGAACAAAGCGCCAATAACAAATGCTGCAGATAATTCACCAAATTTAGTGTTCTAGCTATAAGAACGCAAAAACCGCAGCCCTTTTCTCAAATTTAAACCCATTTTACAACAAGATTAGGAAATACAAATCCTCAAGAAACTGATTAACCCAGCAACAAGATTAATTTTTGAAACCAAAGACAAAACCATAAATTTGAAAAGAAAAAAAAAACAGAGTCAGAATATTGGTAAAGTACTGTGATGGGTCAATTTCCAAATTTCCACATTGTCAAGAATGCAGGCAGATTGACAAAAATCATCAAGAAACTCATAAACCCAGAAACAAGATTCATATTTGGAACCAAATGACAAAGTTAAAACAAACATAAACTTGAAAAAGAACAGAGCCCAATGACAGACGATGCAGATAATTCATCAAATCTACTGTTGTGGGTATTAGAACGCAAAAAGGCAGATAGTTCATCATAGTTCCTAGCATTATTGAAATTGTAAACACAAAGAGACGAGAAAAATTCGATAACGGGAGGATATTAGAAAGCAAAAATGCAGGTAATTCATTAATTTTATACAGATTTTATAACAAAACAATGTTAGGAAACACAAAACCAATGATGCAGACAGATTGCAAAAATCCTATAGATACTGATAGACACAGCAACAACATTAATTTTTTAAACCAAATAATACAGATTAACAAAAATCCTCAGGAAACTGATAAACCCAGGGAACAAGATTCAATTTTGGTACCAAATGGCAAATTTAAAGTTAAAACTTGAAAAAGAACAAATCCCCAAACAGAATGACAAAGCTAAACCAACCACAAACTTCATAAAGGACAAAGCCCCAATAACAAATGATGCAGATAATTCACCAAATTTTATGTTCTTCTAGCTATAATAAAGCAAAAAAAAGCAGCCAATTTCTCAAATTTAAACCAATTTTACAACAAGATTACGAAAGGAAATACAAATCCTCAAGAAACTGATTAACCCAGCAATTAGATAATTTTTTAAACCAATTGAAAAACCATAAACTTTAAGAGAAAAAAACAGAGTCGGAATATAGGTAAAGTACTGTGATGGGTCGATTTCAAAAGTTCAACATTTTCAAGAATGTAGGCAGATTGGTCAAAATCCTCAAGAAACTGATAAACCCAGAAACAAGATTCATTTTTGGAACCAACTGACAAAGTTAGGACAACCATAAACTTGAAAAAGAACAGAACCCAATGACAAACGATGCAGATAATTCATCAAATCTACTGATGTGGGTATTAGAACGCAAAAAGGCAGATAGTTCATTTAAAAAAAATTACAGGGCTAAATCCTAAACTTACAGATTAACAGAATGGGTTGAAGAGATAGCTGCCAAAGTGTGGCAAGGAGGAGATAGCTGCCAAAGAGTGGCAATGAGGAGATAGCCGCCGAAGAGTGCCAATGAGGAGATAGATGCCGAACAGTGTGAGCAGACCCAACGAGTAATGCAACGAGTAATGTTCTTTTATGAAGGGTAAGGGGTGTCATTTTGATTTGGGAAAAGTAGTGAGTAAGTTCATTAAATGAACCGTAATTCATTTTTCAAAAACCTTTTGATAATCAAGGCATTGGCACCAAACACAATTGTAGGCAAAAAAATATAGAAAAAAATTAGTTCAAAACTTTTTTTCAATCACAGCAATACCAAATGACACCCCAAAAAAATCATGATAAATTACGAAAAATAGTTGGTATTAAAAAAAATATACATTAGATTTTATTGAGCACAAAACAAACCAGGTGAATAGTGTGACATTGGGCATTTTAGGTAAATTCGGGTTTTGGGCATTGGGTTTTCTGGGTGAATTTAGTGTTTTGGTAGAATGTGGGTATGGGTTGTTGGGTGGGTTTAGTGTTTTTGTAGAATGCGGGTATGAGTTGTTGGGTGAGGTTTAGTGTTTTCGTAGAATGTGGCTATAGGTTTTTGGGTAGGTTTTGGGCCTTATTTACGGTTGAGGGATTGGTTTGGATGGGTTTGGTGTTTTTTTCACAATGTGGGTATTGGGAGTTTTTACAGCGGAGAGATTGAGGTGGGTGCCTGCATTTGGGTGACTATGTGCAGTAAGAGCTCAAAGTTTCATCCTCAAGTGGTGGTGGTGGGTGGCGGTGGCTTTTGTGGCGGTAGTTGAGGCGCAGATGTGGTGATGTGGTGATGCGGCAGTTGTGGTGGTGGCAGAAATCATTATTCATGAATTAGGCGGCCCTTGCGTCTCTTGACACAGGGGCGGCTGTTCATCTTCAAACTCAAATATCCAAAAATTCTAGAAGACAAGACAGAGAGAGATTCAAACCAACAAACCGCACAATCTCTCTCTCTCGGTAAAATAACAATTCCGGAAGCAGTATCTCTACACGCATGCAGATCGCGACGGCTGTTTATCTTCAATCTCCAAAAATTCGCCATCTCTGGCCTCGAAAACAGATAAGAAGATAGACAGAGAGAGATTCAAACCAACAAACCGCACAATCACTCTCGATCCAGTAAAATAAGAATTCCGGAAGCAGCGTCTTTCCACACCTCCAAACAAACGACATCAGATAGACAGAGAGAGATTCAAACCAACAAACCGCACAATCACTCTCGAAAGATAAGAATTCCAGAAGCAGCGTCTCTCCACACCTCCAAAAATTCGACATCACAGAGAGAGATTCAAACCAAGAAACTGCACAATCTCTCTCGATCCTGCAGATCAATTCCGGAAGCAGCATCTCCCCACACCTTCAAAAATTCGACATCTCTGCTCCCCTCGAAAACATCAAGATAGGCAGAGAGATTCACAATCTTTTTTTATCCCGGTCATAAAATAACAATTCCGGAAGCTGCGTCTCTCCACACCAGCAGATCGCGGCGGCTGTTTAATCTCCAAAAATAAGATAGACACGGAGATTCAAACCAACAAACCGCACAATCGCTCCCGATCCCAGTCGATAAATAACAATTCCGGAAGCAGCGTCTCTCCACACCTGCAGATCGCGGCGGCTGTTCATCTTCAATCTCCAAAAAATTTAACTTCAACTGCTCTCAGAAAAAGAGAGATTAGAGGTAAGAAATAAAGAAAAGGAGCGGATATCACATATCAAACCCTTTCTTGTGATAGAAAGATGAAGATAAGAGGCTTTTTATGCGGCTGGCAGGTTAGGTTTAGTTTGTGCGTTTGTTCGTGTGAAAACAGCTGGCAGCACAAGTAAATGACTAATTGGGCTTTTTCAACTTCAATTCAGTTCACTTTTGGGCTTGGACTGATGAGTCTTGTTTTGCGTTTTTATGGGCTTCATTTGCAAACCTATTTTTCCTATTTTTTCTCTTTTTGTTTTCCTCGTACTTTCTTTCTTGCGCATGCCCGGTTTAATGGCGGTCTAACTTCCAGTTGCTTTTGCGCCTCCGTCTAGTCAACTCAGATGATCGGATAGGTCAAAAATTGTTCATCTCCAACCTGTCCTACCTCATCCAAAAACCACAAGTCCAACCACCCAAGGCAACGCAACAATGCTCAAAAGTCGGGCAATTTTTGTTGGTTCCATCATCTTTTCCAATGATTGTGGCGCCGGTTTCTATCAAACCTCAACCTCACTTCATGAGCTACATGGGGTCATGTCAATTTTTCCGTTTTTGGAAATTACTCAAAACACCCAAGCCATCGTCGGTTGTGGCGGCACATGGCAGCTCGTGTGGCACCTAGGGGTGACCTATTTTTGCCGCCATGTGATGTCCTATATGTACTTAGCATGACGGTATGCTCATATTTGAGAGATTCGATAGCTTGTCTAACAATCGGAGTTTCACCTATTATGGATTGTTTGATTGGAGATGATTGAATCGTAGGATTATTTCCAACCTTTTATATGTTGTTGTTGATGTTGCTAGGAGCGTGTGGAAATTAATGGACTGAAATTTCGAGGCTTGTATGACAGGACCCGACCCAAATTCTACTTTGGAATCTGAGTCGAACCCTGTGCGTGTCCGACACCTGGCGGGTGCTAGACACAATTGACCGAATTGCCCTTTCAAACAAACTCCAAAGAAATTCATGTATGACTTTTGTCGAAAATTCGACAGAGTTCCCCCCTGTAAATTGCTCATTTCCCAAAATTTCCACCTGTAAAACAAGCATATATATATATAATCCAACTGCCAGCATGCATAAAATTATGTTCAAGAAAATCAAGCATCATATCATTCTGGCCTCAGGCCTTAATAGTTCAAATAAATCATTATGTTAACAAACTCAATTCTGATTCTTAGCACATTCTAAGAATAGTATTAGATTTCAAATAACTTAATTGGACTACCTTTCCATCACTTATCCTCGCGGTTGCACCTAGAATTCTAGGATGCCTACGTATCCTTAACCAGGGATCAAGCCACATGTAGTTCTTTCCCTTTATATTTTGCACTTGTTATACTTATACAAAAACCAAACATGTTCATTTATTTTTATATAATTCATACGTTTGCATAAGTTTTCACACCAGTTTAAAGCATTGTAACACAAACATTCCTCTTCCACTTGGGTGTGTCTAACATTATGCGTCAATTCCTCGTGTCTCAGTTTGTGACACGTCCTTGCAGGTCCCGGTAACACAAGGTCGCCCGAGCTGCCGATTCTCGCAGGATTCAGGAGACGTTTAGTCGGCCGATCGAATAGCTTGATCAAGTGGTAGATGCCTTGATCCTTCCACTGTTGACCGAAGAAATGCTTCATCCTCGGCAGCCATTTTTCCCAGTCTGGGGTCACGGTTGGCCACTGTTGTTGCGGCCTGAGGACATTCCAGTCCTGGAAGTCTCCCCCGTCGAAGGCCGAGAGATCCACTAGGTTGTTCTTCAGATGGGCCACAAGCTTCTCTGGCATTCCGCCATTAATGAAGGGGCCGAGAACGCAGGAATCAGTAGGGGCGCCATCGTCATCAGCCCAGGGCGTAATGATATTAGGGAGGATCGAGCCCTGAATATCTCGGCAAATAGCCTCGAATTCAGTTTGGAAGGTTTAGGACCGAACTTCAACAGACGCGGGGGTACTGGAGGCCATTAGAGCAGGCTTAAGATGAGTGTTTAAGGGGAAAATGCGAAAAAAGGTAGTTGAACGCGAAGAACACTGGAGGAAAAGCTTGGGAAAAAAAGGAATAAAGTCTGTAGGGTCTGGAAAATCGCGAGTTCAGAAGGAGCTCTCTCGTAACCTTGGAGATTCGGAGATTTTTTGTGGGTTTTTTGAAGGTTGGAGAAAAGGGTTTTTGACAAAGCTTGGGCGTCTGAGAATTCTGAAAGCGTAAGGAGAAAGCAAGAAAGACTGGGTTTTTATATTGGCGCTAGAATTCGAAACGAAAGGGTGTGTCTCTCTCGAGAGACGTAACGTTCTGTCAGCACGCTCAACAGGCGCAATGACGTGTAGAAAGCCAAGGGGCCGGCGTTTCCTCTGACAAAATGAAGCGACGCCCTGGGCAATGATGGCCGACACGACGTGCTTCAAAGCATTAAATGCGCCGACTGACGTGCGCATTTAATGCCCCAGTTGTCAATCACTTCAGAAAGGAATGCAAAGGGTCCATCCCTTGGAATCCATTCGGCCCCTACCCATGCCGAGGCCGAAGCATCCAGGGATGTGGGGGCAATGTTTGTGCTTGATAAATCACGGCCATAAGCTGGCCGAAGGAACCCATTCTCTCGGCCCTGACACTTGTTTGTAAAACTAAAACGCGGCGTTTCGCCAGGGTACTTCGCCTTTCTAAAGACAAAAGAAGAAATGCTAAGGCATGATCAGCTCGGCCTTAAGTGCAGGCCGAGGCCGAGGCCTGGCAATTTCACGGCCAGAGGCATTAAAAGCAAATCATCACGTGACAACAGGGTCCCAGGCTTCATTTAATGAAGTAGTGCCTGTTCAAATGCAGCAAACCCACTGGCCACAAAGAAGCATTTAATGCACGAGGGAAGGTGGGAAGTGATTGAAGTCAGGATCTGGTGATGCAGATCAGAGTGATTAGACGTGGACATTCTCACAAAGAATTCTGACAGCTTGAGATATTGGTTCACCAGCTATCCAGGCCATAAATGCGTCTCCACGGCCAGAAGTTCAGAACCCACGATCGAGAGCGGCGGCCGAGATTCACCAGGATTTCGGGGGTCACACCACCATACTTCACGATCCCAAATGTCGATTGGACTGCCCACTTGCTCTAATCAAGCTCCACCACGCAGATTTTCAGCCTCGATTACTCCTCCAGGGACTCTCCCTATAAATACAAGGCTCGAGCTACATTCAAAGGGTTCAACACCAAAACAAAGCCTCCCACGGAGCAACTTATTTTTTCCTGTAATGCACTTTCAATATCTTTACTTGCTTTCCTAGGAGTAGTGTTAGGTTTCAGTATTTTTCCTGTAATGCACGCTCAACAGGCGCACCATCTATCCATCCAACACTCATCAAACATCTCGACGCACGGTAGACCGTGCTGGCACGCCCGCGCACAACCGCACCGCACCCAAAAGCAGGAAACCGCGTGTCAACGCACATCCCCTCGGCCCGGAACTCCAGGCCGTGAGATTTGCGCGGCAGATACAACTGGGAGACCTATGACGAACTAATGAAACAAGCCGTCATTCACACTAAGGCAGAATATCTCAAATCCAAGGGCGGACCTTCGGCATCATTTAGTCGAACGACACCTTCAGATCAACCCAAGCCACAGCCTACGATCGCTTCCCACCTGCCCTAAAACCTAATCCCACGCCCTGCCATTTGGCACTCCTTGAGTCCGACTCTTTCACGGCAGGCTTTAAGCTGACGGAAGGTTTCCAGTATCGGCAGGACGGGAACAAGCATAGCGAAGACCAAGGCGACCCAAACAACTTCAAGATCCCATGGCAAAATTGGAATGCGGAAGTCTTCAACCTGCTTAATACTACTTACAAGCACATTCTCATGAGCGAGAACCAAATGATCCCGAAATCGAACAATCACAAGCTCCCTCGCCAGAAGAGCAAGGACACAAGTTTTTTTGTCAGTACCATCGGTACAATGGCCATGATACCAAATCGTGCAACACCTTTAGAAAAATTGTAGAACGCCTCAATAGTGAAGCAAGCTGGATCAGTATTTGAGAGAGTGGCCCATCCCAGAACAACCAGCGAATCAGTAGGTTAACATGATCAGTGGAGGTGCTGAAGGAAACATGCATCTAATGGCGGACTCATTTTGTTTATACTAGTTGAGCTAAATCTTTTTCATTTTAAACCAAGTATCTTAGCCTAGTCTCTTTGAACATAAATAGGAAAAAGAAAAAGGGAATAGATCTTTTACCCTTGATGACCTTTCTTGATTTCTCAAGAATGAACACCTTTGTTGGAAAGGCATTTTGTTTCTCTTGATTTGGACTCATTCACCTTAAGGCTCCAAGATTAGAGTCCTCTACCTCACCACACCAAATGCTCATAGAGATGAAGAGAAGGCAATCAAGAAGTATGGATGCTAGTCTCCTTCTTGATTGGACCAATTTTTGGTTTATGGAAGATGAGATACAAAGATGATTACTCATCAACCAAAGTAGGAAACTAAAAATCCTAACTAGGTTTTCTCCAACACTTAGCTTATATAGGACAACACAAAAGGCAATTGGGTGGGTATTCGGAGCTCCATTTGGTCCATGGGTCATGTCATCTTATGCCACTTATTCCTTGGGCCGAATAGCCTTTTGGGCTATTTTGTCCATTTCCTTTTAAATCATATTTAAAAGCCCAATTCAATATTTCTATATGTCAATATTAATTCCATAATGAATCTTTTAATTATAATTTCACTATTAAATTATAATTATAGTCTTACTTAATTGACCTGGTTGAACTATTTGGCTTTGGTCAATTGCTCTGGTCAATAGTTGACTTTTGATCGTTGACTTTGACATTTGATTATTAACCATTAACTCTTGTCTCCTCATTCGTACCTCTAATCACATTCTTTGGGTGTGCAGATGCGTAGGTTCCCTTTAGTAAGGCAGTGGGTTGACTCAACTTCTCAGAGAAAATATACAAATTAAATTCTACAATTAAATTCTTCCTGTTAATAAAGGTTAATTGAAACTTTTAAGAACATCCACAAAACATAGTT